TAGGGCTGCTTGTCATCTGCAGCAGTGTTGTTCCACATCTCTCCCAGTTTCTTTGCAACATCACCAATGGATAAGCCAGGGTGTTCTCCTTTGATTTTGGGGCGATACTCAGAACAGAACAAGAAGAAGGCCAAAGGAGGCCTCTTTGGTGCATTGGGGTCCTTGAACTTCTTTTTGGTCTCCCCTTTGGTGTGTGGGGGGGAATGTAGGTTTTCATTTTTCTTTTTATAACGAGCCTTGTCAGCCTTGGCCATGTCTTCAAATTTCCCCTTTTCTTTAGCAGACATGGTCTTCCACCTTTCTGAGCACTTCTTGGAGAACTCTGAGAAGTTGACAGAAGCATCCGGGTGCTTCTTCTTGTGTTCCTCCCGGCAGGTTTGCACAGAGAATGCATACGAGGACATTTTGCCTCTCGGCTTCTTAGGCTCTCCTTTGCCCATGTTTAGTTGATTTTCGTCCACGAGGCACAGAGTCACCCAGTGCCCGTCTGGCTCTCGCTTGCCCCGGCGCTGTCTCTATGGAGCTCAATGTACTGCAATCAACAAGCATATTATTATTGTTACTATTTTACTTTTCTGTTTATGGTAACCTGGGATACTTCACTGTAGATAAGGTATTAGCATCCTGAGTCAGCCTGTTTCCCGGAACCCTCAGTTCTGAAATTTGACTTTGATGAAGGATTTAGCCCTTTCCTATTCTGAGAAATAGTTTAATTCACTTCCTTTTGCCAGGCTTGTGACTCCTGACATAGTGGAAGTGATCATGAGGGATCTATGATCATTCATATGGCACCTTCCTGTGCATAGCACCTAAAGCAGGTCTAAGTGCCCTTGTTATTTCTGTGTCTTATTAGGAGGGAAGTGAGTCTGTGCCTCTGGCCGGTAGCACATGCAGGGTCAAGGACAATTATTTGGGCCCCTTCTCTCCTCTCTATTCCTTCCAATCTTCTTCCTGATTCTGGTTATTGAACACTGAAAAGGCAATTCTGAACAGCTTTCTCCGTGGGGTAGGATACTGCACCCACAGGTTCTGAGGAATCCTTTGAAGGCAGAGGCATGTGTGCCCTTTAGGGAATTTGGAAGGCCTCTGTTAGTCTGTTGAGAAAGAAGGCAGTTTTTTTTTTAAAATTTTTTACTTATATTTAACCATTAAGAATAGTTATGAAATGTGGCATCCTGTGATTCAAGAACCAGGAAAGTCATCCCCCCCCCAAACTCACTGTAAACAACAGTTACTTTGTTTAAATAAAAAAGTCTATGTAGGCAGAGATTTATCTTTTCTAATAGAGTGGAGATCTGAGGGAAGCAGGTGAAGATGAGGAACAGAAAGGTGTGTGTGAAGGCGTGGGGGTGGGGAATGGTTTTCCCAAGGGAGAAGCTGGAGAGCACAGGGTAAACTGGATTCTGAGGTGGCTTTGCATAAATAAAGGGCAGCAGCCAGTTTTTAATTCTCCACACATTCACACACAGACAGGAAGGAAGATACCCCACGGCCCGTCATGACTGACCAATCAAAATCCGTACATGACGAATGACTTGAGAAATCAATGAGTTCATCAATGGTGATACCAAGATGTCCAGCTTTCCTTGAATGGAGTTCTGTCAGCTCAAGAAAAGGCTGTTGAGAGGAGGATCTACTGCTGTGGGATCCATTCCTGTAGGGTTGTACTCCTTTTGTTCAGCAGACTTGGGGGAAATGGGAGAGCGTGGTGGTGTGTGCAACTCTGTGTGATGAGGACAGATACTTCAATGTAGTCTAGTTCAGGGATCGTCTTGAATGTGGAGCTCTATGCGATGAGAACATATTTCAGTGTATTCTAGTTCAGGTATCGTCTTGAATGTGGAGCTCTATGGGATGAGAACATATTTCAGTGTATTCTAGTTCAGGGATCTTCTTGAATGTGGAGCTCCATGGGATGAGGACAGATACTTTATCATAGTCTAATTGAGGGACCATCTAGAATATTGCAGAGTTCCCTCTTTCTTTTCTCTTCGCACAGTCTCCTCACTTGGTATGTACTTCCAAGGACCCTGAATAGAAGGCTCTTCAAATAATTTCTCTTGGCTCACACAAAATGCACCCAGCTGTAAGATGGTAGTACAATGTGAGCTCTCACCTTTTAATCAGATTTTCCCAGTACCACTTTATAGATGCTAGAACTTTCCGTTTTAAGAAAGATTTTTCTATTTATCCGTAATCTCTCTTTTTTGTTTATGTTCTCAGTAACAATATTATCCCTACGCTTGTGGTTACAACATAATGACTCATAAAGTGAGGCCGAACTGGAGGTTTCCAGAATGCAAAAGCCCATCTTCTCTCTGCCTCCTCCAGGCCCTCAAACACACCAGTCTATCCTCCTCTCTGTCTCAGGACCCGCTGCCTGAAGGGCATCAAACGTATCCACACTGAAGCACTGGCTTGTGATCTAAGATTTTTAGACTAGACTTCTCTCAGCTAATGTTTAAACTAACGCCTCCACTACAAGTCTGCTGCTCACATAGGTACAGGAGCAAGCACACTGGGGCAGGAAGTATACTGTCTCTGATCCTTGCTGAGGTAGTGACTGTGACTCTTTCCTTGTCGTCTGTGGTGGGTCTCCCCTTTATCTGAAACAAACTAAATGTAAAAGAATGTGTGCAAAGGAAATGAAAGAAAGTAGGAAATGGGCTACCATTTAAGCCACACAATAAAATTAGGTACAAGTCCTCATATGAGGGTTGGGGGAGGCAACCCAATATAGGAGGAAAAGGTTCCCAAGAGCAGAAGAATCGGAGAACCACTCGCTCCCTTTATTCTCAGTCCCCTTCCCTCCTTTTCACTCTTTGTCTTTCTCCAGTTTAGTCAGGAGATCTCATCTTTCAGTCCCCTTCTCAGGCTGATCCATGGGACTCTCTTAGAGTCCTCCTTGTGACCAGCTCCTCTGGAACTGTGATTTGTTGCTTGGTTATTCTTTACTTTACATCTAATATCCACTTATGAGTGAGTAAATACCATATTTGTCTTTCTGAGTTTGGGTTACCTCACTCAGGATGATTTTTTAAAAATTTTATTTGATTATATTTTATTAACATTCTTTTTTAGATAGAGAGAAAATAGGCATGTGGATTCTGGTAGGGTAACTTGAGGAGGACCTAGGAGGAAGGGAAACTGCAATCAGGATATACTGTATTAAAATTTTACTTTTAGTTTGAGATTTCCTTCAAATAAGAGGTAGAAATACAAGTCCATGTCTTATACTTTTAATGTTCTAGATTTAATGACATTCAGACTGTAAATAAGCGTTTCTTCAAAATTTTGACATGTTTCCCGATGTACTCCAGGATAAAGAAGCACAGCAGTAGGAAAGGGTGCGTCAGGCCAGGCACAGAGAGAATCCATTCCTATAGTGTGCATAGCTGCAGAAAAGATGGAGAGAAGCAATTAGCAAAGACGACAGGGTCGCTTTCCCTCAGCCTGTGCTCTCTTCTGCTCTGTTCTTTTGAATTCTGTTTTGGAGGAGTGTTCTTGAACTAAGCTATAGCTGAGACTCCCAGGGGAGCATTTGGCCCTGTGATGTTCAGGCCTTTTCTCCTAACCATCAGTTCTCTGCTTTGACAGACAGCAGAGCAATGTCGTCACCAGAGTCAGAAGATTGCTGTGATTGTAGCACATATTAATTTAAAAGGTTAATAACCTATGCCCATGTCTAAATGTCATTGTCAACCTCATTGTTTCTCATTGATTCTCTTTTCTTCTTATACCTCATTTATTTGGAAAAGATTGATATTTCTTCCCTTTCCTGGATTAATTGAGCACTTCATTCATTTAGTACTTATGAGTTCATGAGGACAAACTGTCCCTGAATATCTGGCCAAGAAAAGATCTGTTGAACACAGGCTTCACTCATGACCTGCTTTACGACCTCCAGAGAGAGTATACTAAGTCTCCGTGTCTTATCTTCCCTGTGCAATCCTCTCAGCCCATAGAGCCCATCACTCATAGATGAACTGGAGACTTCTCTGGAAGACTCTGAGGGAGGAGATAAAAGTGAACATTGGAATGAACAAAATAGCCACAGCCTCTGAACTGTTGTCCTTAAACCAAATATCTCTGTGTGAGGTAGGTCATGTGGGTCTCCCAGAGACATAGCCTTGCTGAGGACTTCTCTAGGTTAGTGCCCTTCCTAAAATAATGACAATGGAGCCTTTTTTAAAAAAAGGAAATATTGATTTAAATGACACCTTTTCTTCCCCTGCTCTGTCTTACACACACACACACACACACACACACACACACACACACAAACAAATTAGCAGATATTCTTTGTTAGTATTTTTCCACTTTGATAATTATTTCTTTACCTATTTATCTATTTATTATCTCTCTATAACTTTTAATTTCTGGTTGTTCTCTGATTATATTTTTAGACCTTGCTGAATTATATTTTAGAAACAGAGAAAGGGAACTTTCCCTTAATTAGGAATCTGGGTGGATGGAAATGCTTCCTTAGAATCAAGCATCTCTGTCAACAGATCTCTGGTTGTTGTCTTTTTTTTTTTTTTATTTGCTGTCAAAGGTACCGTGTTTACTGACATTCCAAAGTTTGTTGTGTATCTTCATAAAATGTTGGTCTTCTCAGGAGTTCAAGTTATGTACATCACCTTGTCCTTTCTTCTTTGTTCTGGTGAGTACATTTTGCTGTACTAGATGAGAACCTTAAACATAATCTAAAAAAACTCAGGGGGGGGGGGGGCAAAACCTCGGAAACACCCGAAATGACTGAATGAGCTTGACTCACTGGGGTTGTCGTCCTTGAACTGGTCATGTTAGGAATGTCTTGTTGTCAGTGGATTGTTCTTCTAACTAGTCCACTTAGAGAAGTTTGAAGAGAGCAGTGGGTTAGGACAGGCTGGGCAGGCTTTCAGTGTCTGCTCATTTGTCCTCCAGATTTCTAACAAAATGCTGTTGTCAAATGCAAAGTTGAGAACAGACTAATATCTTTAAATACGCCATTCTATGAAGATGCAGTTTATTTGACAGCTTTTGGCTGTCTTAGATAAGGCCCCTTTAGCAGGTGTTTTATCAACTATCAAGGTCAAGTGAGGCATTTGTTAAACATTGCTTAGAACATTGAATTACAGCTGATTACAGTTTTTTTTTCAAGTCAAGTGAACACTCAAAAGATATTTTGAACTCTGAGGTCAGAGTATATCACTTAATAATTGTATAAAATTAATATATCCAAGTCTATTAACAAATGGAAGATAATACTTTTGTATATGAGAGCAGTATAAAAGACCGCTTTCCCTGGTATACATATATATCTATGAATTAGAATTTTCTGAGCTTGCATGTATTTTTAGTTATTGTTTACCAATGACACAAAATTCTCATCTATTCCTTATAGCGTTTACAATTCACATAGACGTGTGCTACATGTAAATGTAGGTACTGCTTACAAAGACAATATGAACAAGGTTTTTTAATACATCTTATCTGTCTTCTCTGTTTTGTTTTCAGAAAGTTCCATTATAAAAAGATCATTTTATATACACGTAAGTTACTATCATTTCATCCAGAAATTGAAAATGTAAAATGTTCTTTTTTTATAAACTGAGTAATTTAATGTAAAATTTATCAAAGAAAATAAACTGTTCAAAACTTAAAACATGATATATTTTGTTACAATAAGTTCAAAACAGCAATCCTGAACTGCAAGATAGTTTATTATTGATGCAAGATGTGAGAGTATCTTTTTTTTTAAATTTAGTTTGCATACCAAGCACAGTTTCCCCTCCCTTTTGTCCTCTACTTCCCTACCCCACCTCCTTTCCACCCCTCCCCCCAACCACTCCTCCTCATTCTCCTTTCAAAAGGGGTAAAGCCTCCCATGGGAGTCAGCAAAGCATGGCATATCAGGTCTAGGCAGGACCAACCTCCTCCCTCTCCCTTCAAGGCTGGGCAATGCATTCTACTCTAGGGACCAGGTTTCAAAAGAGCCAGTATCAGGGACAGGTCCTGGTCCCTCTGTAGGGCCCCCAGAAAAGAACAAGCTACACAACTGTCACCCATATGAAGAAGGGCTAGGTTGGTCCCATGCTGACTCCCTTCCTGTTGATCCAGAGTCCATGAACTATGACAAGTTCAGGTCAGCTCTCTCTGTGGGTTTCCCTGTCTTATCTTGACCCAGCTTGCTCATATAATCCCTCCTCCTTCTTTTCAACTGGACTCCCAGAGCTCTGGGCAACTTATTATTTATACAAAGTTTAACAGTTAGTATCCTAATTCCAAATTTCAGCCATTGATAATCAGATATATAATTCAATATCTATACAACCCAGTGGGGTACAGTTCAATGCTTAACTTAACATTAAAAACAGTGCCTTCCATATACTCACATTGTAGAATGTTATTTTGAAAATAAATACTAAATTTGAAAATAAATAAATTGTCCTTCTAAATATCTATATATCTGTGACATATATGTCACAAGAATGTATGAAAAGTCACATGTATATAACATGTATAGCATTGATTTCTTTGTATAAATTACCAAAGTATCTAAAATTAATTATGTGTTTTTATTAAAATGAGCATACATGAGATGTATTGCCATGTAAATATACAGTAAATATGTGCATTGAATATTAGAGAAATTACAAAGAATGAGAGAATAATCAATAAAAAGTTAAATTTGGTGATGGGCTATGAAGGAAATGTCTGGTGGGGAAGCACAGATGTTACAATGTGTGTTGGCTGCCTTACAAGATCATGTTACACCAGCTGTGTTGTGTTCTATTTAGCAGAGACATAAAACTATAAATGTAATAATTACATGTTTTATATATGTTATATGTCGTTTATATCCATGTGTAGATGATATTTAAACCTTTTTGTGTGACATTACATACTAATAGTAAAAACAGTTTATTTAAAAGCCTATGCTCTAATACGTTTATGATATCCTTGTGTGTTGTAGCGACTGTGTGATACGTTTCAACCTTTTGGATATTGTAGCAAAGAGTATCTTCCAGTCTGTGCAACCAATCGCCGCACTTATGGCAACATATGCCTTTTCTGTATTGCATACAAGTAAGAATACCATTTTCAAAATAAGTTATTCCTAAGTAATGAAGACTTAGTAGCAAAATCTTACATTTGTGTTATTGATATTCCATGCTCATAATACACAGAAAAAAAGTGACCCTACCAAACCAATGTGTTATGAAAGGCATAGAAACATGTGTTCCTCGCTTTAATATTGTGAATTCTGAAAGTGGCTTTTCTATTTGGGATTTAGAATAGAATTGTGTTGAATATTGTACAAACAAAGAAGTCAATTAGCTTATCTGATATTCCTAATTTCAGATATACAAACATTATTAAATAATTCCAAAGCTGATGCTCAATAGATCTCTGTTACAGTCTGCAATCTATCAGGCTAGCAAGAAACTCCCTGAGAGCATCCTCTTATCCCCTGAACTCCTTGGAAGATTCTACACCACAGGATGCTCTCGGCCTAATATCCCTGTCCTTTTTACTCTGTGGTTTGATTGCTGTGTCTCATGTGTATGTAGTTCCTCTGCTGTTTTATCTCACATGAGCTAAGTGTCTTTTCCACTTCACAATCTTCTAATTTTTCAAGGCCTACTAACAATCCCTCATCTGGGCAAGATCCACAACTAAGGCAGAGCTGAGGCAGTAGAAATGGTCCAATACACCCACAGCAGGACGTGTGCAGATGCCAGGAGCAGTCAGAGTTTAGTTGCTCATAAAAGGAGAAATTAATATGTCCAATTCAGTTTTTCCCCTTTGAAAATTTCATGGCACACTTCTCAAGGAGTTTGAAGTAATTTCTTCTGACATTTTTGACCTCCTTTATTTTTTTCTTTGCAGAAGACACCGTGGTGCAATTATGGTGACACGTTTTGAAGCATGCTGAGTTTTAATGGAGCTACATATCCCTGGGGATATTATTATGATCACAGTTTTTCCCTGAAGTCTACAGTGGATCAGGGATTTTGTCATCAGGTTCCCATAGTCCCAGAAGATTGGGTGAATCTCTGTGTAGGATCCACAAGAGAAGACTGACTGTCATTGTTCTTTTCATTTCTCAGGTCCTCTGGTCTCAAGGTTTTACTTCATGTAATGAACTACTTAATGGCACTTAAATTCCTAAATCTTAATTTTACATTCTGTAAACTGACAACTTAAAGCCATTAATGCCCTAGTTATGGTTCTTAATAAAATTGTAAACTCCACTGTTTATCGAGAAAATCTTTAGGGGGTTAGAAAGATTTCCTAGTGGTTAGGGAAGCTTGATAATCTCTGTGCAAACCCAAGTTTGGTTTCCAGTGTTCATATCAGGTTTCTTATAACTTCCATCTTCATGGAGTCTCATATTATCTTCTGTCTCCCACAGACACCTGCATAGACATGTTGCACATACACATGAATATAAACATAGACATTAATAAAAATAAATCTTTTAAAAATGGTGCTATTTCCTTCATTGGAATATGAGGTAACCCAAACACATACTTTTGGCAAATACCTATGACAAGCTTTGAAATGCTCATTTTTGAATAGTTTCTGTGGCAATGTCTTTTTCTGGAAATAAATCTTGTCTCAGGAAGTGAACTTTTATAACTTGACCTTGCAAGGAAGTTGACCATAAGCATCAAGTCTATTTACTCTGAAGCATATTCTTTCTCAAAATGATAGCCTACAGAATGGGAAAAGATCTTCACTAATCCCACATCAGACATAGGTCTGATCTACAAAATATACAAAGAACTCAAGAAATTGGTTTATCAAAAGAACAAATAATCCAATAAAAGATGGAGTACAGACCTAAACAGAGAACTCTCAACAGAGGAATCTAAAATGGCTGAAAGACACTTAAGGAAATGTTCAACATCTTTAGCCATCATAGAAATGCTAATCAAAACAACTCTGAGATTCCATCTTATACCTGTAAGAATGGCCAAGATCAAAAACACTAATGACAACTTACACTGGAGAGCACGTGGTGTAAAGGGAACACTTCTGCATTGCTGGTGGGAATGTAAGCTGGTACAGCCCCTTTGGATGTCAGTGTGATGATTTCTCATAAAATTAGAAAACAACCTTCCTGAAGACCCAGTAATACCACTTTTGGGCATATATCCAAAGGATGCTCAATAGTGCCACAAAGACATGTGCTCAACTATGTTCATAGCAGCATTGTTTGTCATAGCTAGAACCTGAAAACAACCTAAATGCCCCTCGACTGAAGAATGGAAAAGGAAAATGTGGTACATTTACACAATGGAGTACTACACAGAAGAGATAAATAATGACATCTTGAATTTTGCAGGCAAATGGATGAAGCTAGAAAACAGCATTTTGAGTGAGGTAACCCATACACAGAAAGACAATTATCACATGTATTCACTTGGGAGTGGTTTTTAGTCATAAACAAAGAAAATTAGCTCACAAATCACAATCCCAGAGAACCTAGACAACAATGAGGACCCTAAGAGAGACATACATAGACATAATATACATGGGAAGTAGAAAAAGACAAGATCTCCTGAACAAATTGGGACCATTGGTACCTTGGGAGAGGGCTGGAGGTGAGGGGAGAGGCAGGGAGGAGAGCAGAGAAAAAATATAGAGCTCAATAAAAATCAATAAATTTAAAAAAATTCTTAACAGAAAAATTCATTAAAACGTCATACCTCAAATGATCACAAAAAGGCCCTGCTCACCTTCCAACCGTCTCTTTCTCTCTGTCTGTTCCTTTCTCTTTCTCTTCTTCTCTGCCTGTCTCTCTGTCTTCCTCTTTTTCTCTGCCTCTCTATTCTCTTCTGCTCTTGTCCCCAGAGGCCACTCTCCTCCTCCCCTCCCCTCTCTTTATGATCCTTTTCCCCCTAGGCAAATCCCCTCTATGTGAACTCTGGTGCACGATGTCTTTCTCTCTCATACTGCCATTTAAATGATAACAACACGGCACCACTAAGCATGGTGTTACATCCGAGGAGGGGTCCCTTTCTCCTGAACTGAGAGACTCAGCCTAGAATAGTCTCTGGGCAAGGGAGCTCAAGTGTTCAAACCAGTAAGCTTTCAGTGAGAAGCTACTATTTTTTTTTAAAATTTAAACCATAATTTAGATGTCTTGAAAGAAAATCACAGGGAATTAAACTTTATATACCTACCACCTAGCAATTATTATTAAAAATGCTATTTTACTTAAAAAAAATTGCAAGTTATTGTGGTATTTATATACTATGGAGCTGGCCAAAGGATACGATTCAATGATCTTTTCTTAGCAAGTAAACACATAGCTATAGCACAGCTGCTTGTAGGCCACTTACATCACCCTAAATTCTCTTACATCTGTTTGTGGCTGCCCTTTCCCAGGCTTAGCTCTAGGTTATCCATTCTTTCTCCACTTAATTGCCTTTCTGGATGTTTTGTACAAATAGAATTAAGCAAAATTTCCTTTGTATCTACTTCCTCCCATCAGGATTATTCTTTTTGGTTCATCCATATTGTGAATTATATTTTAAAATACTGAATGATATGATTTCTTGAGTTGGTAATTAAAAATTTAAAGTGCATTGATCATTTGATCGACATCTGGGATGTTTGTGATGTTTAACTATTATTATTAATGCTATTGCGAACCTTACCAAACAAATGTTTTCATTAAAATGTTTTTATTTCCTCTTTGTAAATTCCTGGAGATAAAGTTTGTGGCTGGTATGGTAAATAAATACATGGTCTTTAAAATGTGCCAAACACTTTTCAGGGTGGCTGTACCTTTTTTATGGTCTCCTAAGTAATGCATGAATATCCTGATTTCTCTACGTTTGTGACAACACTTGCTATTATATCTTATGGTTTGTAATCACTATAGTGATTAAATATATTCAAGATGGACAATACAGCAGCTATGCGACATTGTGTAATGATTACTATGAACTGATGCATGCATCCATCACCACATGTGTTCTACAAGAGATAAATAAAAAATTTCCTCTTGGGATAGAAATTCATATCTTCTCATTAAGAGTTGCCCTCTAAGTCCATAACTCCCAGGTCCTGAGAATCATCAGGCCATCCTCCGATTCTGTGATTTTAACTTTCTAAGATTTCATATATGAATGAGATCATATATAGTGTTGTGCATCTGCCCCAATTAGTATCATGTCATCCAAGGTCATACATACAATCTCACACATGACAGGGTTCCTTAATTTTTTTCATTAAATAGCATTCTGTTATGTGTGTATAACATAATTTTATTCACTCATTGATTTTGGTCTCTAGGTTATCTTTATATACTTGTTATTATAAATAATGTTGCAATGAATGTAGGAGAGTAGATAAATCTCTCATACGTTTACCTCGGGATTGTTTGATCATATGGCCTTTCTTGCTTCTAGTTTCTGAGGAAACTTTATAATATTTTCCACTGTGACTACATTGCTTTCCCTTCTTCCCAACATTCATGGTTTTAGGAAGAGAATCTACAACTACTAGTTTACTAAACTAAGATTCATTATCTAAGTCCTTTCATATTTCATCATTTAAGTTCCAATGTTACTAATAAGAATATTTTAGCAAACATCATGTGTCTATGCAATTGCCTATTTCTTAGGACAGGAGGTACACACAATCATCAGTAAAATATAACAAAAATGATTGTTTACCATGCCCCCGGAAGTGATCTATGGAAGGAAATGGGAGTCAACACAGCATGCTCTGCTCCACTTTGTACTGTTATAAAGGGACACTTCTCACAAACCTGCTAGCAACACAACTTCATTTAACATCATACCTGTGTGATAGCTAAATGTTGCTGTTTGTTTTTTACTCTTTACTCTTTTTTTGGTGGGGGGACTGCACCCAGCTCCCGAATAAAGACACATAGAGGCTTATTCTTACTTATAAACACCCGACATTAGTTTGACGTATTTTTAGCTATGTCTACCTTTTGCTTCTGGGCTTTTATCTTCATCCCACGTGCCCTTTCTTACTTCTTTCTCCATGGTTTGCTGTGTAGCTGGGTGGCTGGCCCCTGGAGTCCTCCTTCTCTTGCTTCTCAATCTCTCTTGCTTCTTCCCTATCTTCTTTTCCTCCTATTTATTCTTTCTGCCTGCCAGCCCCACATATCCTTTCTCCTGCTTAGCTATTAGCCATTCATTTTGTTATTAGACCAATCAGGTGTTTTAGGCAGGCAAAGTAACACAGCTTCACAGAGTTAAACAAATGCAACATAAAAGAATGCAACGATCAACCAGGCCATGGTAGCGCATGCTTTTAATCCCAGCACTTGGGAGGCAGAGGCAGGCAAATCTTTGTGAGTTCGAGCCAGCCTGGTCTATAAGAGCTAGTTCCAGGACAGACTCCAAAGCTACAGAGAAACCTGTCTCGAAAAAAACCAAAAAGAGCAACAATCTTTGCATCATTAAACAAATATCCCACAGCATAAACAAATGTAATGCAACACACCTTAAAATAATATTTTACAACAACAAGATGTTGAAACATAAAAAGAAGTCATTCAAATCAAATATTATTGTTGTAGAGAACTGCTGTCTATACAAAATCGTGCTGATATAGATATCTGGCATGAGACAATATGGCTATCACTGGGCCTTGGGGGGCTCTGAATCATCACACATTGTCTAACTTCAGATGTCCATTAAAATAGACAGTGACATAATGTGCCATTTAATTATTCCTGGCCAAATGTAGCTTTTGTTATAGACTCGAGGTCAGAGGCCTTTGCTATTTTGTATTTGTCAGCCTGCTTTAGCCAGTTTTTCTGTTAGTATGGGCCTTCAGTGTGGCCAGTATTAAGGTCTGTGTGTCCATGTGCTTGTGTGTGCCTGTGTGTAGTTTGTGTGTGCCAGCATGTGCCTGGGTACCTGCCAGGGCAGTTTGTCTTCTCTTTAAGTGTTCTCTCACACACTTAAGTTGTCTTGTCTCCAATGATCCTTTTCCTTCTCTGATACTAGAGTTTGTGCCACACATGAGTCTGTCTTTAGAAAAATTCTAAGTATTGATTTATCCTGGCTACAAATCTAGAAGCAGATCCCTGAACTTTTCCCCCTGTTTTGAATTGTTTTCTCTTTTCTAGGTACTTGTTTGGGAGGTTTCCATTACCTTTATACTTCTCTGTTTATGAGAACAAACCCTCTCTAACGTCTTTCTAAGGGGAGATCTTTGGAAACAATTCTCCTGCTTGGGTTGCTGTAAAGCCTACAGA